TTATCATTAAACTCGGGCTTGTAGCACAACCTGGATGCACAAAAACAAGTTTTATGGCAATATTCGTTCTTTGGAGTTGTATTTAGTACTAAATGCCAAAGTTATCATTAAATTCGAGTTTGTGACGATTAGTTTAAGGTGAGAAAATTAATTTATTGTGAACTGAAAGTTTGTGCCCAGTATTTAACGCCCAACACCAAAATTATGATTAAACTCGAATATGTATATATAATATATACATAAATATACATTTGTATGTGTACCTTGCTCTTCTTCGTCTTTAAAAATCACAAAATTTGATCATTTGCGTCCTTACTTTATTTCAATCACACTCTCAACTTATCAATTGCTTTGCACTTTTGAGTTTAAAACATCAAATCTCTTACTGTCATAATTGTTGTGATTAATTTCAATTTTCGCACACAATATTCGCCATAAACCGAATCGAACGTATTGACATACGGTAGCGCGCCGCAGTGCAACCCTGCCTCCCTGCTACCTCCCTGCCACTACCCTCTCACTCACGTTCGCTAACTGCAAATTAGAGCGCATTTTTCACGCTGACGCAGCCAATATTAGTTGTGACATTTAAATTTATCTAATTTACAATGCAATTTGGACTAGGAAGCTGTGTCTGGGCGGCTCATTAGCAAGCCGAATGGCAGCCGACTGGCAGCTGGGAAAGTTGAGAACGCAAAAGGTATGCAGCTACTAAAAGTGTATTGTTATTGTTGTTGTCTTTCGCAACGCATTAGTCAGCCGGGTGGGTGTATGTGCGTCAAGTCAAGTCGTGGACGGACAGATGTAGCAGCTACTGCTACAACAACAACAATAACGACGACAACAAATATTGCTGCGAGTAGTTTATGATTTAATTCAGCAGGCAATTTGTGAACGGTTGCGTGTGTGGGTGCGCAATTTCCATAAAGTCTAACTGTAATTGGATACCCGTCATGAATCTTACCAAGTGTGTGCGTTGGAGAATTGCAAAGCGCGTCTCGCTACCCCGCCAACCCGCCATTAGTGGCCAGCGGCGTTGCTATGCACTTTCTGTGAAGCAAATTGAGACATGTCTGCTTGTATGTGTGTGCGTGTATTTGCATGCACTTTTAGTTGCACTGCACTCCCATTTATTTAGCGCTGCTACTTGTTTGTTGTTTTTGTTTTACCTGCCGACGGACCCGCCGGACGGCCATCAGTTCCACGGTTCGCACCGTAATGGACATTGACTTTTATAGTTGTAGCTTTGCTCTTTGGCCAACTACTGCTGCGCTACTTAGCATAGTCACTAAGCCAAATGTGGATATAGAAAAAAGCCAACAACAACAGCAACATCAGCAGCAGCAGCAATAAAAACTCAACGAAAATAAAGAGCACGAAGTAATTTGTTAAGAAACGCGTTTTTTTTTTCCTCCGCTTTTGGCGCTCAACTTGGAAGCGGTTGGCATAGAAGTAGACGCAATTGAAGTCGAAGAAGACGAAGAAGCAGAAGCGTGTAGATTTGGACGAAACTATAGCTACCACGCTGTGGTTGGCCATTGGATATAGAATTACCAAACTGGCGCCAGTCAAAAGGCATTAACATTTTATAGTTGAAAAGTGTAAAATAATTTTTAAGAAAGAATTAAATAAACAAGACAGCAAAATAAATAAAAATACAGCTCATAAAAAAAATAAATAAATATAATATTAGAAGTGGACAATAGAAATGACGACGAAAATCGTAAAATCGTAAAGAACTGTTAATACACAATCATACACACATTCACTCAGCCCTGAGAACACATAAAGAATTAGAATAATATTTTTGACAACGCCACACACATACATAGATACACATAAACGCGATTAACTGTTATTTAGTATCATTTAGGCTTGACTGGCGCGACAGTCGGATCTATGTATTCGGAACGGACCCGTATATACTTGTATATCCGGCAGAGAGCTGTCAACTTGGCAGCAAACCTTAGATTTCTTTGCTGAACTCTTTCTGTCGTTACAACAAAAAAAGACAAAGCTTAGATTCGTGACAATCAAATAAAGGCAGTTAACCACACCTCAACGTGGTATAATAACCACAACAAGACACTAGCGCCCTGAAAACTATAAAGTTTCAGAGCACGAGTTTTAAGTTGCTTTAAAGGCAACCTCCGCCTTTCCTTACAGAGGTGTTAAAGTTTCAGACCTTAAGTCCGGAACACTTATATTTAGATGAAGAAAATTTGTTGAGAGCCTTTTTCTTTATTAGATCTATAAAGCATATGTAGTAGAAGTCCCCCTAAAAGGCTGTTGGTAGCACATGCAATACTTTCCAACTAGAGCTATCTAAAACACCGTCTCATTGCTGCATATATAATATATACTTATAAATATATGATTCGGCCCTGTCTGAATTTTAAAAGCGTAATCAGCCAAAGTTAGCCTTCAACGGTAAACATTTTCTAGTTCTTTCTAGCCATATTCTTTGATGCATGCAAAGAACCTGCAAGTCGAACTATGAATATTAAGGAAAAAAATCATTTATGAAAATATTTATCTAATGGAATAATAAAGAATGTCAAAATTGAATATATATGAAGCTATTGAATAATCCTTTATTAGTTGAATAGCTAAGTTAGGCTTTACCAAACATTTCCTAAAATTGTAATATTGATTTAGCCATGTTCGTTTTTTCTTCTGTTTATCATTCATGGGCATAAACCCAGTAATTTTTGTAAAAGTGGAAGTACCCACCTATTTTTGATTATTTTCTATAGTACTTGAAATCTAACTAAAATATGTAAATCGATTCATATTATTTTCAACTCGTTCTTAATGAAACTACGTAGACAAATTTAACCAAGGATCAGGCAGGTGAATTATTTCAGGTGAATTTATTCACAACTTCTTCAAATTTTTGAAATTTAAAAGAGCTCGATTTACTCGGTTTCATTCGAAGTTAGCGCTTCTTCAGTTATTTTATTTTTGTTTTCGATTCATTTTCTCTATAATTACCAGCAATTAATGCCTAATTGTTGGCAACCTCTTAAATACCCCATTTTGAGTAGGTGTCTCTCATAAATAGAATTCCAGCAAAAACACACATAACATAATAAGAAACAATTTTCTACTCTCAAATGAAGTAGATATGAACAATCAAGCAGCCACTTGATCAACATACGTCAATCATTGTACTCACCGCAATGCCATTTGTAGCGCCAAAAGCACGCACTTGAACGCACGCGGCACACGAAATTCCTTAAAGTTGTGAAAGAATGTCTTTTTTTTTTACTGTTGGGTAAATAATTGTAAGAAAATGCGAAAGTATTCGCCCTCACACGAATTTTTTTTGTTAATACCGTGAGGCCGGCGATCAACTCATCACATACTCAACCACGCGGCGAAATTCTTTGCCTCGTGGCCTGCGGCGACACTTGACTTGCCTGCCTGTGGGTTCAATTGCTAACTTGAGCGTGAGCTCAGCTGTGTGCTGAGCTTTTGATGAATTGTGTCTAAATTTGTAACTCGGACTTGTTGAGTGTTTACTAATTGTTTGAGTGCCATCAAGCACTGAAGTGTCCCACGTTGTATGTATGTACAATATTAATTTTAAGAAGACACTTGAGAAGTTATATAAAAGAAAAATAAAAATTAATTCTCCAAGCTCATTTTTGTCGAACAATGTTTCAAATATAACAAAGCTTCCTGGGACTTGGGAACTGAAAATGCAAATCTGTCCGCATTGACAGACGATGACTACCAACTGTAGTTCAATGGCTTCAAATCTGGACATCCAGACGGCCAATCATTTGCTGCTATGAAACCTGGAATATTGCTTTTAAGCTACTACCGGGTGGTATTTGCCTTGCGTGCTGGAGCAGAATCTTGCTGGAAGATCGAATGATCTCCATCGAAGAGAGTATTGCTCAACTGCCTTCCAAACGCCTTCCAAAATATTCCGCTGGTACACTCTTGCCCCAGTTTTAACACCATTTTCACATGAGTGAAAAGAGCAAAAAGTGCTTTGCTGCTGCATACGGTGACTATTTATTCTCTTTCGATGGCCACCCTCGGAAATTAGTTTATTGAATTTTAATATGGTCGCACGTTCAGTTTTTAATGAGCGATTAGTTAAAGCTGCTACATACCAAATTTTAATAGTAAAAAATTATAACTTGTTAATATTAAATGGCACACCTAGTGTGCAATTTTTTTTTCATATTTTAATAGTTTATACTCTTAAAAATAACATAGTAAATTTTCAATCTCAACTAGTTATAATAGAATTACAGCCGTTCAAAGCGTAGCCGCTCTGTTTAATCCGGTCCACCAGTACCATTTTTCGAATTTGCTGCAGGGATAACTCGAAGATAAATGATCAGATTATTATGAACTTTTTTTCTTACTATTCTGTATATCATTCTACATACAATGGCTGATAGGGGTTTTTATCTAATTTGACAGGCTAAAAACGACCAATATTTGTGGTAAAATTCAACTTTTTTTTACAAACGCCGCCATTTTGTCATTTCGTTTTGTCCACGGATAAGGCCGAAATCACTGCAGTAGGGGAGAACCTTTTTTTTCGCGCCGTCGGAGATTCCGTATAATTCGAAAGTAAGTTTTTTTTTTGTTTGAAACATGTATAAATATACGCTGAAAATTTCAAAACAATCGATTCAGTGGCAATGTTGCAATCTGCAAAGAAATTGTTCAGATCGAGTCACTAAAGCATATAGCTGCCATACAAACTAACCGATCAATGTTTTTGTAATGAATCCTTTGTATTTGTGAAGGGTTTTATATCTTCAGTGTAACCGAACTTCAAGTTTTTTTTTTTTTATACAACTTTATTTTTACATTTTTATCTGTGTACTACTATTTTATAGCCCTGACATTTACACATATCATAAGGTTACCACCTTACCACTATATTTAATAAAAAGTAATTATAAAATTATCACTTTCTCTAAAAACTCTTGTTTGTAATCCCTTGTGCTTTCTCTTATGCCTCATTTCAGGCCGTTATGGAGTTTTTAAAATAGTAACAACAACAACAAAAACACAACACACTGAAATATAATGCATAGACGCTCTCAAGTATTGCTGCAAAACCTGAAATCTTGCTGAAATAAATTAAAAGCAAATCGAAAAAATAAAGCAAAAACAAAAACAAAGATAAATTTCGCAAAGTAACCGAATAAAACAACAAAAACACACACACTTGCAATGAACAAGGAAATGCGAAAAAGGCAAAAGCCGCAACGACGGCAACCAACAAAACGACAACAATATGCAATTAAAACAACAACAATAGCAACAACACCACCGCCAACCCGTGTGACAGTGAACAACGAATTTGTGCGCACAATGGCAATTGTTGCAGATAGTGCCGATATCGTTGCTGTTGTTGTTGCCAACGACAAGAAGGCTCAAAGTTGTTGCGCCAACGATGAGCAACGCTGTAATAACTGCCGGCAAAAGCAACAACAAGACCGGCAACAGCATTTTCGGTCTATAAAATCTCTAGCACTGCCGCAGCAACAACAACCACAACAGCAACAGCGTCAGGGATGTGAGCATCATGTAAAACGCCATCTGCGGTCATGGCCGGGACAGCGGTCAAAGTTCAGCGCCTGGTTGCTGACAACTGTGTTCATCGTGGCCATTTGCCTGGTGCAGAGCGCGCATACGAATCTCTTATTTGGTAAGTATTGAGTGTGGGGAGGGGTTGCCGGGTAAAAGAGGGGGGCATATAGTTTTCATTTAGTTTGGGCAACTCGAGGTGTTGACGTCTTTAATTTATTTGATTTTAATGTTTATTATTTTTATTTTGACTAAGATATAGTGCTCATAAAATCACAACAACAACAAAAACACACGTGTGGCACATTGATTTACGAGCTTCTCGAGCGTTTAACGCACGACCGGCTTGTTAGTTGCCAGCCACTTGTTGGTGTTGCTGTTGTTGTTTTTAATGAACAAACTAACGAACAAGCAAACATTTTGATTAAGCCAAAGGTTTGCACGTTGCAGAATCTATGTATCTTGTCTGTGTGTACATTAGCGTGCTCGTTATTTTTCCAAGTTTGCTACGAAGTTTGTAACACCACGAAGGAACGGAACACTATAAAAATACAAATATATATATAAATTATCAGCATATTGAGCTGAGTCGATTTAGCCCTGTCCGTCTGGCTATCCGTTCGTCTGTATTTATGTGAACTTGTCTCTCAGTTTTTGAGATATCGATCTGAAATTTTGCACACGTCTTTTCTCCCCAAGAAACTGATTGTTTGTCGAAATCGCCGATATCATACGGCTATAGCATATAGCTGCCATACAATCTGAACGATCAAGTACATGTCCTTGTATAAAAAACTTTTTTTGTTTGACGAGATATCTTTACGGATGGACATCTTCATGGACTATTATCCGAGGTAACAGAATAATCTACGAAGAAATTGTGAACCGATCAAAATCAAGATATTGTTATTTGTATACCTTTTTTGGATGAGAAATGCACATGTGAAGGGTATTATAGCTTCGGTGCGGCCGAAAACTTTTGCAAACTCCGACTGAAAAATAAGGATCCATCATAAACAAGCTCTTTATTCGATTTATTTAATATGGGATTTTTTAATATTTTGCATCAAGCAAGTAATTCTACAATTTTGGAAAACATTAAATATTATAATGCTTGTACGAAATATTTAGCTCTACAAAACTTGTGTAAATGATTCTTTTCATAAACACATTCCTTTAAAAGTTCTACGCGCAATCAATTTGGGAAATAACGGACACCCTAACGCACATACATATAAATATTTTACTCAGATAGCGAAGTTACAAACTTTGTTCAGAAGAATGCACTTTCTGCTCGTGCCATCTGCTTTATTAGCTTCTTCTAAGTAAAAAAACTTTTAATTGCCTGATCCACATTCCTAGCTGGAACTCTCATGACAATTCATCTATATACAGGTTGGTTGGAAGGTTTCTGCGCTCGAAATGAAAAAAATCGTTTTTTGCCACGAAATATATTTTTTATTTAATAAAATATCCCGTAACTTCAATACACTTATTCCAATGATCCTCAAATAATTTTATGTAATCTCTATAATGACTTTCTGGAAGCTCTGCAAAATACAAGTCTACGGCTGTAATAACTACTTCATTTGACGAAAAACGCTTTCCACGAAGGAATTGTTTCAGGTCTCCAAAGAGGTAGTAGTCGCTGGGATCCAAATCTGATAAATACGGTGAATGCTCAAGCATTTCTTACTTTAATTCGCTGAATTTTGTCATTGTTAAAACACTTTTGTGAGCAGGCGCATCGTCTTGATGAAAAATTATTTTTTTCTGCTGTAAGCAAGGTCTTTTCTCACGAATTATTTGATCCAGCTAACCAAAAGGCTGCAATAGTTGATTGTTTTACCTTTCTGCACCTTCTTTGCTTATACTTGTGACTTCACCTACTTTGGAGCTGAACAACCAGCTTCAGTAGCTCTAAGTCTCATCCATAGTTATAAAACGATGCAAGAAATCGGTTTTATTCTGCTTGAAACACTTCAAATTGTGCTAGAAAATTTGTTTTCGACTCAGTTTTTTGTTTAATTTTAAAATTGTGTGCGGCACTAACTTTCCAAACAGCTTTTTCATATGTAATTCTCCATATAAATATTAAATACTTATTCGTCTGAGATGTCTATGGCATTAGCAATTTCACTTCTGGTGTATTTGCGGTTTTCGGTCCTCCTTCGCGGGTAACCAGACCAAAATTCAACGGTGCGTTTTGAAAGTGAGGACAGAAGGAGAATCTAATCACTGCACAATATTTAATTTTTTCCATATTAAAAAAATACTCTGACACGTCAACTACATTCAAATGGCTTGTAAACAAAGAATTGATTGACAGAATGACTGTAAGGCAGCTATATGATATAATGATCTCATCTGAACAATTTCTTCGGAGATTGCATTATTGCCTTAAATAGGAATCCATACCAAATTTCATGAAGATATCACGTCAAATGAAAAAGTTTTCCATGCAAGCACTTTACTACGATTGTTCAGTTTGTATGGCAGCTATATACTATAGTGGTCCGATATCAGCCGCTTCGACAAATGAGCAGCTTCTTAGTGAGAAAAGGAAAGGTGCAAAATTTCAGATCGATAGCTTAAAAACTGAGGGACTAGTTAGCGTATATACAAACGGATGGACAGACGGACATGGCTAAATCAACTTAGTTCACCATGCTGATCATTTATGTATATATTTTATTGGGTCTCCGACGTTTCCTGCTGGGTGTTACAAACTTCGTGGCAAACTTAATATACCCTGTTTAGGCTATAAAAATTGGAGTAGTCCTGTTTCTTGGTGAGAGGAGAAACTCTTTAACCAACTTGTAATTATTGGGATATGTCTCTTATTCTGTAGAACTTGTTGGCGAATTCTAAGTTCTTTCCTACTCCAATCCTTCTTTCATTTTCCGACGTTTGTGCTGTATCTTTCAGGATGAGTATAATTGCAATAATGTTTATCCACTATTGCATAATTTTCTGTAGATCAGGTTGTGCTCATAATTGTTATATTTTGTGGAGAACCGGCTCGTAGGTCATTCGTCACCCTCACATTCACTTACTCAGCTCTCTTTTCCATTTATAAGATGTAGCAAATATCCAAAACATTGTGGTGTCGAAACGAGTTTAAAATCGCTGCTTTCACCAAAGATACCACACTCGGTCCAGCCACTTTGAAGTCCGAATGCCAAGGATATGTATTGAAATCCCAACTCTCCCATATAATATTATGCATTCACCTAAAAATTGGGAAGCAAGCATTTTCCGGGATTCAGCGCCTGTGGAAATATATTTCGCTCTTTCCCAAGCATTCATAAGTAAAATTAGAACTATACCATCTGTTTGAAACCCTCGAAGCCATTGCAGATGAATAGCATGGAAACAATTTGTTATTGTTGCAATAGTTATGGCGATTTCTACTGAATTCAAATTTCGTAATCCAGTCGTTTCAGTAGATGTAATAATTTGCCTTAATTTCAAAAGCTCCATTTTCTAATGTGCAGACTAAGCGGCCGATCCTTAAAGTAGCGATGGGGGCGATGGACGAATACCTGGACTTTTAGACTAGGTACTCATGATGTTATAGGATATTTCTGAATTTAGCAGCTCGAATTCTACATTTGTCATTAAATACTCGAAGAACATCGCTGTCAGAAAGATCCTGTATATAGTTTTTAATAGCTTTCACTTGCTTTTCCATCAAATACTCTTACTGTAAAAGATCTGAAATTAATTTACCCTTTTAAAATGCGGATATAGCAGTCATGCCTATATCGCGAGGACAACTATTTCTTGTAAAATAATCACGGTAATGCAGTACGTGAATCTGCCATCAAGATCCATCGACCATGTGCGTATTGTTCATTTTAGGTAACAGAAACAGGTTATCATAGTTTTGTGGCTGTGAATCTTGCCGCTGGCTTTTCGAATAGTATGGTCTAATAATGTCAGCAAGTCCAAGATCCAAATGAAGCAGTTGTGCTTTGTATGTACAATAGTTTCCCAAGAGAGTCCATTACTTAAATGTTAATTGTCTATCAATTGCCGATTCGCAGTTGTCTGAGTTATACTTGTATTATGTCTCGAGAAGTTGCGGGTTTTTAATATGATAGATCAAATTTATATACTTTACCTCAACAAAACCGAGGACATTTGAATTTGGTTGTAGGTTTTTGTGCTCTGTATCTATTTCTCACTCTCCATCTATAAGTATATAAATATTCCAGTATAATGAATCTACCATAAACTTCTGCAGTTGTTGTAACGGAAGAAGTGTTTCTGAATTTCGTCAGCATCTGGCTTCGTTTATCAGAAAAACCTTTCCAGTAACATTATTCTTATAGCCAGGGACATCTAGGTTAGGTAAAATGGTCGATCCTAAAAAAATAGAGATCTCACTTCGACAGATTATAACGCCGGTCCGTTGGGGTACCTAGAACTCCTATAAAAAAATTGTTTCATAAAGAGTCTCATAAATCGAGTTGTGATTTTTGAAACTAAAACATCTTGGCAGTTATACCTTTGGCGAACCAGCAGTGATATCTAGCACCATTTTCTTTTCTCTCTCACTCTTTGCTTTGCCTCTCTCTCTCTCTCTCTCCCACCCGCTATCTATACATAATTCCGAACATTCAACTCTCTCCATATCTATCAGCTTGATGCATCTTAATCAATACGGTTTATTTGAATAGTCGTGAAACCCCTCAACCTAGCACTCTTTCCTTCTGTACAATCATGAAATATACATATACATACATGTATGTTTAGCAATAAAATTGAGAAATCAATTAGCTTGTAACCGCGAAAACCTCAAATATGCATCACGACCATGCTAGCTACGGAGCGACCGAGCCCTCTAACCCACCTACCAGCTTATCCAAGTCAATCCAAATAAATTCTAATTCGTCTCTGTGAAACATTTTACGATCACATATTCATAAAGAAACAATTCATTAGTGAAAGTGGTGAACATTTTACGATTTTTGTTTCTGATATTTAACTGAGAGTAGACATTTATACACGCGCTGTCCTTCGATAATCAAAAACCCGCTTTACACACCTAACGCTTCGTTTTTTAGCACTTTTTAAGTGTCGACTGGCACCATCATCGATCAATCGATGGCTCGT